CCGCCGCCGCCGCCGCCATCTTCTCCTCGCGCTTCCTGCACACACCAAAAACATAAAGCCTGTCTTAACATTGGACTTCCAATTCAATGTATTTTTGTTCTGAACGCAAACTATACACCGGCATTAAGTGAAATGTCACAAGAATCAATTTAAAGCATTAGGGAATATGCATGTAATTTTTTTCTTTTTTCAACCGATTCTAATTGTTATAAAATAACCAGAAAAAAAATTAAGCTAAAAATAATAAAATAAAATTACGATCATTTTCGTGCGACTAAAACGCGACCGGAGTTGTCATGAGACAATTGACGTCAATCGTCATATTCCATTCATAATATACGCTCAGATGATTGCTTCTCAAGGTCAAAAAGTAAAAAATTGATTCATTTTTATTCTTGGTACAAATAAGTGGTAATTAATAATTCTATTCAATAATTTTTTATTTTAAAGTTGGTTTTGATATCGTGTTTACAGTAAAATACTTCAAGAGTGTATTTCTATATAAACTACCGTAAATGAACTGTGTGTTGACAACACAGCGACGCCATATTAGGTAAGCCATATGCTTCGACTAATAGTGTGAGTTTTAGAACTTAGCGAGGGAATTTTTAAAAAAACACATTTTAATAATTAAATTTAGTCACTAAATCACATTATATTTAAAAAAAATCTTTGCAGGACTGCTTTTATAGTAATAAAGTATACTTAAAAAAGTTTGGTACAATTTGGCGTCATATGCATATTGCCTATTGCCTAAACAATACATTTTTATTGGCCTTATCATGTCTCCAATGTAAATTACAAGTAGCAAAATCGTTAGAATTCGGTTGCAATTAAGTGTATATTATCTAGCAAAATTTCAGTAACGGAACTGTGTATCAGAATGTCTCGCGACTCGATCAGTTTAGTTATTCATTTTATGAAAACTAAAAATATGCTAGTTTTTTTTTTGTCTATAACCATAAACATATATGTAACCATAACAATGAAACATGACGGCTGAATAGAGCTAAGGAAGAGATAGAATGATAGCCAAATGCGTATGTCAGAACAGGCAGAAGGTATATTCCCTTGTCTATATTTAATATTCTATATTGTAAAGAGGAAAGATTTGTATGTTTCGATTTTTGTATGTATTGAAATAACTCAAAAACTACTGGGCCGATTTCAAAGATTCCTTCACCATTAAAAAGCTACGTTATCAGTGAGTAACATAGGCATGTTTTTTAACTACACGCGGGCGAAGTCGCGAACAACAATCAGTATTTTATATATATACAGCTAAAATAACGCGTTTTCACAGCGGAGACGTGTTTTTCGAGCCATTTTATGTATTTCTACTTGATAAATATTATTTTCTATGTAAATTTGTAACTAGAAAGAACTTTGAATTATGCTTTCCTATCGTATATTCATTTTTGATGTAATAAATGTATAAATGTTAATAATTTTCTCTTTGATTCCTTTAAAAGAAATAAGACAACAATGTTTTATCAAAGGAAACTTCCGCTTACTTTTTCTGTGCCTCCCTCTTCGCTTCTAGAAGTGCCTCCTTCTTCCTTCTAGCATCCTCTTTCTCCGTCCTCTGGTATTCCTCTGCGGCTTCTCGCGCTTTCGTCAAACCGCTCAGTTTGGAAGTTGATGAAGAAGTAGATTTATATGTAGGAATGTTTGATTTAGGTTTTGTCGCTGAATTTGTTACCTAGAGACAAAATACTATGTAAATAACCTAATTTGTCACATTAAGTTAACCCTTAGGGTAGAATTAATTGTAAATCTAGATTTAACAATGATCATACGAAATAATGTAACATTTTAAGTTGAAAATTTCTTACTAAATTTACATTAAAGAGTTTAAATGCATTGAGTTCTGAGTATTGAAATTATAATGTACGTAACAAGTAAACTAATAAACTAATGGACTAATTTTAAAATTTCTAATACTATTAAAATGCAAAATGATGACATTGTGATATCTTACTCTTACTAATATTATTAACTAGCATTCGCACGCGACTCCGTCCGCATGGAATTAAAAAAAAAGCCTTTGTGTTCTTCCAGACTATCCTCCACATCTATGCCAAATTTCATCGAAATCCGTTCAGCAGTTTAGGCTACAAACTCTAACAAACATCCATCTAAACTTTCGCATCTTACTAATATTATAAATGTGAAAGTTTAGATGGATGGATGTTTGTTAGAGTTTGTAGCCTAAACTGCTGAACGAACTTCGACAAAATTTGGTATAGATGTAGAGGATAGTATGGAAGAACACATAGACTACTCGCTATTTTTTTTATTAATTTATGAGTCGGAGTTGCGAGCGAAAGCTAATAGGCTACATTTATTTTTTGGGCAAAATATCGAATTAAATCAAATGTTTGTGTTTGCACAGAATATTCATAAAAATCTGTGTTATTTGTATTAAAATATGAATAAATCACCTGTGTTGGTTTCCCATTGAATATCATACTGTTCATTTTGCTGAGATTCTCCGCGGATAGAATAACTTTAGATATCTTGTCCGGAGGTGTCACATTTTCTGTTACATCGTCCTAAAAAAACAAGGTTCATTTCCATTATCAATAATTAGAAAAAAGTTCAAACGAGTTTTTAACCCCTTTTTAAAGATTACTAAACTGATGTGAATCGCGTTTAAAATCTATAATGGCTGCTAACGTATAATCGGCCACCTAAATTCGCATTTGTCTACATTCTGTCTACATTCGAAATTGCAAGTGCATCACCTAGCCTTAACTGAGACGAAAAAAAAAATATAAACTGAGGTCAAATTTGTCCAAATGGGCCAAAATTGATGAATTTAATATAGCAATTCTCAAAGTGGTATTCATTAACGAGAATTAAAAATCAAAGAATATGGAGCTAGGGGTAAACAGGATTAGTAAATATGGGAAGGGACTTATAATAATAAAAACAACTACATACCTTTTTAGCCATAGCTCGTGTTTTAGTTCTTGTAGTCCTCGCCGCTAGTTCTTCAAACTTCTGTACTTTCTCTTTGACAGCAGACCTGTCATATTAATATTCAAATGTATGGATATCTATGTATTTTGTCACAAATACAGAAAAAGTCAATAACAAAGTTCTTACTAATATGGAGGCATGTTTGAAATGTGTATATTTTTGTATATTTATTGCTACAGTAGAACCTCGATAACATAAAAACCTCTAAAACTTCAAAAAATAATGTTTCCTTCACGTCGAGCCCAAAACCTCTACAACATAGACCCTTGATAACTTAAAACCTCTATAACTTGAAACATTTTGTGTTTCCCTTGGACTTTACCTAATATACTAATATTATAAAGCCAAAAGATTTGTATTTTTAAAGTACAGTAGAACCTCGATAAGTTAAAGTCCAAGGGAAACACAAAATATTTTAAGTTATCAAGGGTCTACGTTGTAGAGGTTGGTTAAATGTAATCGACCAAGAGATGGCGCTGTATTTTGTTGTATTAGATTTTTATTATATGAAATTATTGTAAGACTGCATCCATTATTAAATATTATTATTTTACAGAAGCAGTTGTAAAATTGTAATTTATTACAAATGTAACAATAACAATCTATGTATATTACTGGCTGCATAGACATTTTATGGAAATAAAAAGGAAGAAAATGGGTAACGGAAAAAAAAAGAGCAGAGAATGTCAAGATGAAAAAAAAAAGGATGATGTCAAGAATTTTTATTATGTTGTAAAATGAATTTAAGTAAAAATAAGGAAAAAAATCACAAAATTGGGTTAGTTTATTAAGAAAACAGACATTTCGGGCTCGATGGGGGGTTATAGAGGTTTTTATGTTATCAAGGTTCTACTGTAAAAAAATATAATAAAAACTACTGGACCAATTTATAAAAATTCTTTCATCATTAAATAGCACAGTGGAATATTTTTTTTTAATTTCTCGTTGAAGAAGACACAAGCAACATTAAGTTAATTATGCAAAAAAAACTTACAGAGGTTGTTTATTTGGTATTGCCTTAGTGGGTGTGACATCCTGCGGTGTGTTAACACCCTCTGGAGTGTTAACACCGTCCTGAGTGTCACTGTCATCAGTCAGCAGAGAATTGTCTTCAGTTAGATTCGCTTCTATTGGTACTGGAAACATTTATTATACTAATATTATAAATGCGAAAGTTTAGATGGATGTTTGTTAGAGTTTGTAGCCTAACCGGCTGAACGGATCTCTATGAAATTTGGCACAGATGTAGAGGATAGTCTGGAAGAACATATAGGTTACTCACACTTGTTTTTTGTTTTTTAATTCCACGCAGACGGAGTCTACGAAAGCTACTTATAATATAATTACTTTGAATAAATATTTTTATTTTTATAGGAACATTAAAAACTGATAACCTAAAATGTATGTAATGTTTAAATACAATTTTACTACTTTACATTAATAAAGAGTATTTGCGTTTAATTAATAGTTACTTCAATTTTGGTAATTTACTTTGATAACAATAAAATAGTAATAGTAATTTTTATTATTATCCCTTTGCACTCACTGTTAGTTATTTGTAGGAAGCGGCAGAAACGTATTTGCAATGAACAAGGCAATTTTTCCTGATGGGGAACACAACTGAACAAGTGCAAATTCGAAATTTGTGTGTTTATATTAAGGTGGTGTTTAAATTGTTTTTATATTAAGGTGGCAAACAAGCGTCCACCAGAATTCGCCGAAAAGCGAGTACTACCAATAGACATTCGCAATTGCAGACGCGTCGCCTTCCCTAATTGAATGGACACACATAAAGAGGATATTTCCCCTTCCCATGCATCTTCTCTATGTGAATTGAACATAGATTAACGGAAAAAAAATGTATTTTCAATAGTTTATTGTGTAAGGAAGAAAAGACTGATGTATAAATGCATCATCATGCATTTAAGGGTTAAGAAAAGTGTGGAAAGGGCAAGGGACTAAATTAGCTTTAAGTTTAAAATAACTTACATCTTTCAAGTACGACGGTGGCATCCATAGCGATGTTCCTCGTTTTGTCCAACACCACAGTGGTATCCATGACAACAGGCTTAACGGTGTCATGTTCTAACACCACGGTGTCATTCATCACTCTCTGGAACATAAACATAGAAAATTGAGACCTTGGAGATTAAAAAAAAATAATCTGCTCTTGCAGATTATATTTTATAAAAATATGACTTAAAAGCTTTTTTATTAATTACATTTGTATTACAAGGAATCGTTTCAATATATGAATAAATTTATTAGGTAGAACAAATCTATACTATTATAATAAAGCGTAAACACACACTTCTTTGTTGCCTAAGATGTCAACAATTACAGCATATTTTTGGATAATTATTTTTTTAATAAAAAGCCCAACACTTACGTCACGCTTTAGGCTATATATTTCACGCCATTAAACTTAGGGGGCAAATATTTTGGATAAAAACCCTAATGTGGGAAAGAGACCATAAGTTGCTGCCGACATCAAGTCTATGCCAAATTACATACAGATTCGTTCAGCAGTTTAAGCTTCACACTCTAACATCCATACATCCATCCGAACTTTCGCATTTATTTAGTAAGTAAGATTCCACGTTAAAACTCGCAATATTCCTTATTAAATACTAGCTGTTCCCGTGCGGCTTTATCCGCATGAAATTATGAAAATTTTATTTTATTGTTTACATTTGTCAAATTATCAATAGCAAATGTCAAAATGACATGACATGACAAACCATGGCAACCTTGTTATCTTGATGTTGGCAGCAACTTATGGTCTCTTTCCCACATTAGTGTTTTTATCCAAAATATTTACCCCCTGTATTTAATAGCGTGAAAATATATAGTCTAAAGCGTTAAGCAAGTGTAGGACTATTTATTTAAAAAAGAATTATTCAAAAATATGCTGCAATTGCTGACATCTTAGGGAACAAAAAAGTGTGTGTTTACGCTTTATTATAATAGTATAGATATAAAATTATTGAGAGCGTCGGTGGCTCAGTGGTTTAAGCACTTGACTTGTCTACAGGTCTTGGGTTCGAATCGCGCCGTACCAATGTGATTTTCGAATTTTCATATGTAAATAATTTACCCGACGTTCTTACGGTGAAGGAAAACATCGTGATGCACATATCAGCAAAGAAATTCAAAGATATGTGTGAAGTCAACCCGCAGTGCAGCGTGGTTGACTATGGCCTCTCTCTCTCCGGATTGTTTCCTCATTCCTGAGGGTCTATGGCCTAGTCTCGTATTAGGGTAGGCTCCGAGCCCCTCGGTGGGGTATAGTGAGCTGGTGGTATGATGAGATATAAAAAAACTTACCAAAACTTTAGGTGTAACTTGTTCGTGTTCGTAAACACCATTTGTCAATACAACTGTACTATCCATTATTGTAATACTATTTTTAATTTCTTTATCTATGTTCTCTTTTTCTATAACATTAGAGTCTTTTTCTTGTTTTGTATCAGTTTCGTCTTGTATTTTATTTATTACTTCAGTATTAGGTTTCACTTTAATATGACTTTCTAATATCGGAGAGAATGCTTCTGTTTCTTCTTTAGGATTTATTTCTTTTGTAATGTCTTCCTCTTTTGTGATTTCTTCTTCTTTTTTGGTTTCTTTTTCACTGAAAAAAATACATTTTGATGATTAGGTTAATGTTTTTCTTGTAGTTTTTATGTATGTGTGAGTTTTTTGGTGTGTCAAGGTTTTTGTTAACCAATGTTAAAAATAACTTACGCTGCCTTTTGTCCCTTCCTTGTTCTTTTAGGTCGTGGCTTATCGCTGGGAGATCCTAAACATATACATACATAATATTTATACATATATAAAAAAAATCCTTATCAACACTATAATAAAACTAGATATAAAAGAATTGTTGTGTTTGTCATTTTTATTTTTTTTAATTGAAACTGATGTAATAAGTAAAGGGATTTTTATTAATAATTTATACTAATATTATAAAGAGGAAAGATTTGTATTATTGTATGTATTCAAATAACTCAAAAACTACTGGACCGATTTTAAAAATTCCTTCACCATTACAAAGGTAATTTATCTGTGAGTAACATAGGCTACATTTTTAAATTTCACGCGAAGTCGCGTGCAACAGCTAGTAATTAATAATTATATTAATAAAAACCCTTAATAGTTTTTTTTTATTGAAACTATTTATGTACTTTTATATTATCTCTTTAAATTTAATTTAGTTTTAGACAAATAGTGTATAAATAAAATAAATTTCGTTACTTTTTGTATGAAAAAATCGAAGTCTATAATTATTCAATGCTTTCGTAATTTACCAATCTCTGTTACAATTACAGTATTTTAATATTACTTATGACACGACGCGGGGCAAAGCTAGTTAACAAAATATAGTTACCTAATCCACTATCTTGAGTTACGTGTGTTTCTTTTTCATAATCTGAAGTTACTTCTGATACTTTCTGAAAAATACAAAAAAAAAGATAAAAACCTGAAATTGTATCAATACTTGTTACTTAATATTTAAAACGCCTAAAGATAAATGGTTTTTGGTACGGACTACCGATATTGCGGTCGAGGGTTCGAATCCCGCCATTCGACTTGTCGTCAACCACATCCTAGCACAAGCCTAGAGCTTAGTTGGAATGGTTAAAGGAAATATTAGTAAATTAACAAAAATCTACTAACATTTAAAAAAAAAACAAAAAATTTCTATACATACGAAAGTTTAGATGGACGAATGGATAGATGGATGGATGTTTGTTAGAAACCTTTCGAAAGTCTCAATGGATTTTGATGAAATTTGTCACAAATATAGAATATAAGCTATTTATTCAATTTCTTTTTTATTCAGCGCAGAGTCGCGGGAAAAGGTTATCTAACATTAGGTAGCATTCAAAACAATTTATCTATCAATTTTCATAAAACTGTAAATATACATAAAAAGCTGCTATAATATATATTTTTTCGTCAATTTAGATAATTCATTATACATACCTTCCTGCCGCGGGTCCGCTTGGGTCTCGTATCTTTAATTACAGGTTCTTCAGGTTCCACTATCTGAGTGTTTCTAGAACTAGCTCGCGTCGCACGAGTTGATGGTACTAGAAATAAAACAAATCACTTATTAGTATTATAAATAAAAGAGTCAACCAACCCGCACTTGGCCAGCGTGGTTTGACTATGGCCTAGTCACCCTAACTTTAGGGTAGGTTCCGAGCCCCTGTGAGTATAGTGAGCTGGTGATGATGAAATAAAAGATGGATGGATGTTTGTTAGTTTGTAGCCTAGTGCTGAACGGATTCTTGATGAAATTTGATATTGATGTAGATCATAGCCTGAAAGAACACAGCTTACTTTTGTTTTTTAATTCCACGCAGACGTAGTCGCGGGATAAAGCTAGTGTAAGATAAATTAACTTTCTTCTTTGATAGTATTAGCTTTTAGTTTTTGTCCCCTTCTTGTAGAGCAAATATCCTAATTTACTCACCCTCTAAGTTCAATAGCGTGAAAATATACATCCTATATGTCGTAAATGTAGAGCTTTTCATTAAAATAAGAATAATTAAAATAAATACTGTGTTTATTGACATATTACATGATAATGAAGTCCGTATTTACTTTTTATCTACGAGTATACTAATATAATAAAGCGTAAACAGACATATAATAAAGCGTAAACAGACTACTTTGTGGCGTAGCATATTTTTAAAAAATCCTTTCTGTAAAGTCCTACACTTACGACACGTTATAGGCTATATATTTTCACGCTGTTAAACTTTAGGGGTAAATTAATTGGGAAAAAATTACATGTGGGAAAAGGATTATAAACTGCAAATTGCAAACATTAAGGAAGCAAGGTTATTGGTAACGGTAATTTTGACATTTTCAATTGAGAATTTGACAAATGTAAACAATAAAATAGAGTTTTTATATTCATTAATATAAATATAAAAAAATTCCCACCAGGTGGCGCTGGCAGCGTGTCAGTCTGTTTCCTTGTCCGCGTCCTTCTCCTACCGGTTTCCTCTTCTTGAACCACTTCGGTTTTCTCTTTTAATACTGCTTTTCTTGCTTCTGAAAAACATTACAAAATTTTATTAAAACTAATTTAATAACTACAAGAAATCGAAGACATTTTATAATACATCAAATTATATCTTTTTAACATTATGGAGAAAAAAGATTTGTATATATTGAAATGACTCAAAAATCGGACTATCTACTGGATTTATTTAAAAAATTCTGTAACTACTAAAAAGCAAGTTATCATCGAATAAAATAGATTTATTTTTAATCCAATTTTTGCAGACGTAGTGGGGACTAAGCACTATACTTAGACGGTAATTACGGCATTACCAATGTTTAAATTAGTTATAGGTTTATATAATGTTGTTTGTTTACAAGTATTAAAGTTAAATTTACTAATTAAATAAGTATAAAACCTGAAAGTGGACATCAATGTAAAATATCATACTAGTTGTTGTTTGCGACTTCACCCGCGTTTAATTAAAGAATAATACAAAATATACCCTATGTTACTAATATAAATTACCTAATGGTTAAAGAATTTTTAAAATCGGCCAGTAGTTTTGCACGAATCAAATACATACAAAAATACAAATATTTCCTCTTTGTAATATGAGTATAGATAGTAAAATGTCTGTAGATAGTAAAATACAGGCCTGGGCCTGGTCCAGTAAACTTTACCACTTCTGTCTATTTTGGGCTTTTGTTACTCACAGATAAATTACCTTTATAAAGTGTAAGAAGTTGTAAAATCAGCTAAGTACTTTTTGCATAAATCAAAAACATACAAAAATACAAATCTTTCCTCTTTGTAATATTAGTATAGATAGTAAAATGTCTGTAGATAGTAAAATACAGGCCTGGGCCTGGTCCAGTAAACTTCACCACTTCTGTCTATTTTGGGCCTTTGTTACTCACAGATAAATTACCTTTTATAAAGTGTAAGAAGTTGTAAAATCAGCTCAGTACTTTTTGCATACATCAAAAACATACAAAAATACAAATCTTTCCTCTTTACATTAGTAGAGACTAGATAGTAGATAACTTACTAGGTACAGGGGCAGCGGGCGGTGGCATTGCTAGCTCGTCCTTATTAACTTCCTGCTTCACTAACACATCCACGGGTAAGATTGCATCTTCCATTGGCTCCGGTAATATGGAAACCTTCTCCTGTTTGACTGTTCATACAAATTGTTATAAATATATATATGTATGGAGGAGTACATACTATGATAATAAAAGGGGGAATATTTAACAAACACTGACTTTAAGACTAAAATTTCTGACTTTTGCTACACTTTTAAGAACTCAGAAACTCATCATCAACTTGTGCTTATCCCTTATGGAGGGTCGGCACAATATGTGCTGCTCTTCCATACATCTCTATCAGCCATCATATCTGAATCCACTCCTTAAGCATATCCTGTTTCACACAATCTTTCCATACTTTTTTCGGTCTTCCTCTTCCTTTGTAGCCATCCACATTCATTCTTAACACTTTCTGGTTTATATCCCAATCGAACATCGTTTTAAAAACTTAAAAACTACTAGTTGATAATTTTGAAAGTGGTACATATAGAACATATGACAATTCCACATGAATTAAAAATAATAATCATTTTATTTAATCATAAATCACTGTATAATCGATGTACAATCATAGTATTTCGTGGTTCCACTGACAGGTAATTTAAAATGCAATGAGACAAACACTGCCCATTCTTTAACAAGGTTTAGGCTAAGCGCCATCTGCGCCACCTCAAGCCTGGTGAATCTGTAAATGCCTCTTCAAGGCAAACAGTAGCCATTCAGTAAAAAAAA